CACTCATCCTTTTGGTATCTACTGGCAACGCAGTGTGCTCTATTGTCTTTTCTGCATTTCCCTTCAGGATTCCAAGTTAGCGTTTGCCTCGTGATGCAGTTAAGTCACTTCTGCAAAGTCTTTCCTATCCACTTCCAACATCTTTTCCTGATTTCCTCTTCAGGTGGAAGATGGTTTGTTTTCTCCCACAGTAGGCTGCTGCCGATAGTATCCAGTCAACGAACATTGAGTATCTTGCGTAGACAAATCGTACTGAAACTATAAGGAGTAAAAGGAAAATTTTACATGAACTAGAGCGTATAGTTGAACCTATTCAATAATGTAACAATATAATCTCGTTTTGCGGGTGGATGTACGCTTTTATATTTCGTTAAGAAACCATAGTAACAACTTGAATGAGTAGCTTGAAGTCTGGATAATGCTTCTAATAATTGCATACACGGTGGGAGGACTGCTTACCAAGACGAACTTACTTGTTCCTAGCTCCTAAAACTGCATGCTATAAATTTTGTTTTGTCTTTAACGAGTTCGAAAAGAAGAACAAGATATGTTATGTCTAACATCACGTCTTGGGGTTCTATATATTATAATTGAACAGCCTATTAATCGACAACAAAGTGTTGTTATGAAGCAGAACTGCTCGTGTTTATCGCTTTGCAGTCGTAACAGCTAAAGTTAGCTGGTTAAGAGTTACTGACTCCTAGATGGCTTCATGAATATAGCTGCCTCATTATAATATGGATATGAACATCAAGCCAATCAAATGGTTATTCATTAAAACTCTGATTATCCTTCAGAATGGGTTTTGTAGAGATTTTTTAGAAATTTCACTGGTTGAAATCATGAGTCAATTGAAGTTAGACCACCATGGAAAACCTGGAAGCACCGGACGGCCATTTCGTCTGGTATGGCACTCCTCAGCAGTGCGTATCCACGATCCCGCACCCCACAGGATTCAAACCCAGGACCTACTGGTTTCGCGCGCGAGCACTTACCATTAGACCACTGAGCCGGAATTCAACGGTGTTAATGTCTAACTTCAACCAATCCACGAAGTTGCGCCACCGTACACCATTGTCTTCAGTGAGCTGATATCTCACAACAGAACTGGTTGAACTCCACTGGTAACGACTTCTCACTACAACTCCAGAAGTGTCTCCTGAAGTCAGTGCGTTTCGGGATCGTGGATACGCACTGCTGAGGAGTCCCATACCAGGACGAAACGGCCGTCCAGTGCTTCCAGGTTTTCCACGGTGGTCTAGCTTCAATTGACTCATGACCAGTGTTTTTATTTTTTCCATTTTGTTTTGATTATTCCTGGTCAGGGGGTGGTCCTTGTATCTGCAGTTACGAAACACGTCATAAAAAGGACAGTGATTTAGTGCTTCTTGTGATTACGTTTAATTTTCGTACTTATTGCATCAAAAAGCATTCTTGGTCCAGTTTAACTTGAGATATTTCAGTTAGGGTGTAACAGCTTAGGTTGGTTGGCTAAGATCGAAATAAAGACCTATTCACTACTTGTCTGGTTTCTTCTGTCAATAGCACGAGGGTTACCTATAGGCACGAAAGTGGTGAGCCCGACGTGATTATTCCACATTCTCACACTCTTTCTCTTGAAAGCACGCAGCAAACCGTCAGCGATAGTTGCAGAAGAGATCACATGCTACAAAATAAGATGACAAGCTAGTAAATGAAGAGACATCCATGCACTATCGTTGACAGCTGACAGCGTTAGTCGTCACTGATTATAAGTCAAATAATGAGCGAGTTGATAATTTTCCCTTGGGATGAGAATAGAACTAAGGTGTTTTCGATAGATAGGTTAATCGAACCGACGTTCCTATGGAAGTCGATTCTAGGGGGAAGCTAATGTAACAGCTTAGGTTGGTTGGCTAAGATCGAAATAAAGACCTATTCACTACTTGTCTGGTTTCTTCTGTCAATAGCACGAGGGTTACCTATAGGCACGAAAAGGGTTCGAAATTTTGTGATACCTTCTTTCTCATTGACTCTGGCACTTGTGCTCATATTGTGTTTTAAACATTCTTAATCTGATTACAGTGGCCCGCAGAACTTACGAAGGAGGACACCCAAATTTTTATACCCCATGAAAGAAGGGTGCAATGTGATGAGTCTAAAAAGTGGTTTCATAATATGTGTACCCATCTAAGTCCCACCGAATACAAAAGATGCTCGGAGCCTAACGCACATTGACTCTGTATGTTTTGCTGTACGCATAAGACATTACTGATTCAAGAGGCTATGAGCCACTTATCCTTGGCCTGCAACGAGGAAGATGGTGGTTGCGTTGGTAACACGAGTACTGACAGTGCAGAATGTGTCAGTGTAGTACGTGCTGCTACGGGACGAGATAAACACCCGACCATGATTGGAAGAAAAGGGAAATCTCTGTTGAAAGTGAAGAGGAGTGAAGTGCCACCTGATATTGATATGAGTAGAAATTAAAGACCGGATAAATCCAACACCGTTCCAGATAATCCAGGTGTGGTTGTCCTGAGTGATGGAAAATGGATGGCAATACGGATAAAAAGAGGTGAAAAATTCTATAAACGACACACACTTGGTTGGCATGTCATTAGTGAACTATCATCCTGAGTCACACAATACACTACCAAAGACTGTTAATAAGACCGGACTCCATCCAGGAGTGGCTGAGAAGAGTTTAATCTCGTCGAATATTATTGTGAGTAATCTGCAAGAATCAAATTATTATGATCCCTAAACCGGGGGATTCATCCAGAGTATCTTACCAGATGAAACTAAAGAAGTTTAAGTCGAAAAATTTATACGAATAGGTAAGAGGACCGATGAAAGTGTTAAACCCCGACCATGTGGACTCCTTAAGATAATCCTAGTGTCGGAGAATCAACGTTATCTTCTGCTTGATAGCACTCGTTGTCACAACAGTACTGACATTCGAGTAGGAACTGATATGCCTCTAGAAAATAGAATAAAAGGAAGTCGGCGCTGGCTGAACTAGGAACTCAAGAAAATCTCCTGTAGTGGGTTTTCGGATAGTCAGTTCTTGCAAGTGAATGCTACGAAGCTCTGTGTGGATAGGTCTTTCTTCCTAGGAGTTTCATATGCAAGTGTTATTAGCCTAAGAAATAAATTCTATGAACTGGGAGCATTAGTGGACAAATTAAGGCGACTTATTGTGGCTGTGACAGAGACTTGTTTAGTCCACCACTTCGTCATTACTCCAGAATTATCAGGTTAACACTACCTAGGAAGGGATATAGTATTTAGTGGCCCGTGGATCTGACTCTTACTTAGATCGTAGTAATGTTTTTATCGCCTATTCTCGTATATAATCGTCGACTTAAATCGCGTCAGTCAATAACGGAATTAAGTAAGTTGAATAACGAGAATTGATTTTTGAATACATATATTTTGTATATGAAGCGAATGAAACAGAGTAGAGCAAAATGACACGCAGGGAAGATGGCTGGGAAGCCAACTCCATTTTTAGTCAAGCGTTACCCAATATTTATAGTCAGACAAAATAAAGATACAGACATGTGATTAATGGAATAAGAAGGGCACACACATATACGCTCATATAAAAATAGTATAGATTGACAAGCGAATAAATAACAAGGTCAAAGTATGGCTCAAGTAGAATGAATAGAATGGGATGTCCGAAAGTTAGAGTACAATATATGGGCTTAACATAGTAACTGACTCTACAAATATAATGTGTAAAAGGAGATGGCATCCTTTATACATAGCCAGTAATGTAAATATCCACTCCTCCGCTTGCGTATCCCATGATAGTGGAACTTGTGAAGTCATTAGCTATGAAAACAGGGTAGTCTGAGGTATACTAGAGTAAGATAATGGAAAAAGTTGAGGTGTCTCAGTGTGTTTTCATAAGATAGGGAAGATGGACATTTTACCATTTAATCCCTCGTCGTTGAACTCGTTCTAGCATATCCGACTCATACTTGAAACAAGGACTCGGTACTTAAATCACATATTACAAATGCGGTCTAACGAAAGTCAAGTGTAATAATTTAAATATTTCTTCATTCAAATACTGAAGAGACCTACGAATACCCATATCCTTTTGCAGCAGCAGCCTATCAGTTACTCGTGGTTTTGAGATCGCTGCTTGTTATGACTCCTAAATTCTTATAGCCCATTACTTCATGTAACAAAAGTCCATGTATTGTGCAGTGATGCGAATCGTCACAGTTATTCAAGTGCAGCACCACACTTTTTAGAATCTACCTTATCAAAGGCTTCACTCTGATCTAAGAAAAATACATCTACAGAAATAATCCGGTCTATTGCCTCAGCCCGATATTCTCTCGCAATGAGCAGGTTTATCAGGCATGATAAACCTTTCCAAAAATGACGTAGAAAATTCGTAGCCAAGGTAGATTATTTTGGTGGAGTTTTTTTTCTCTGAGCTGGATGGTTTGGTCTTGCTGGATAGTCTAGCTTAGCTTTATGAATTATCGGTGATATATAGCCTAGATTATCGGATGTCATATTAATAAGGCTAGTAGTGATTTGTACATTGTACACTGAGAGAAATCGGTTATTGTGTCATTTTTCTCATTTGGTTATGTTAAACAGCAATTTGTTTTTTCTTTTCGTACTAATCATGAAGGGTTTCAACCTTCGTTTAAGAGTCGTTGTGTAAAAGCGCATACCACATAGAAACCACGCGTGTAACAGACTTGAAGCACATGCGAAGAGAGTTGTGCATAGTGCATTTTTATTTTAGAATTCCAAGCAGCTTCTTCCAGAACTATATGTTACATAAATCCATCGATGAGTGAGTGACTAAACAAAAATTTGTTGATTTAATCAACTTCATTATTGGTCACTCTGAGTTTGGTTTCCTAATTCCACACTGAAAATCTTCATCTATTCCCCTGTTTGTGCCTTTGAATTTTTGTTCGTTTGTTTGTTCTCAAAGTCTTAACACTTCCTACATGAGCCCCAGAATGGAAGTGCTTAGAGTCATGCGAAATTCTTCTCACTTTGATAATGTAGTTTACAAGTTACCAAGTATTTTGTTAGAATCGTCTTCAGCGACCAATAAGGAAATGAGAAATTCACAGTATGGTATTGGACACAAATGAGCGCATCATATTTGGAATTCGTAAGCAGCGAGGAATCAAGTACCAAGGAGTCATTATTTCACACAAATACTGCAGACATACCTCATTTGACTAATATTTTCTTTTTGGAATGAGGGCCAGGTCATGGATAATAGAAGAATTCTGGAGATTGTAGCAAACAGTATGTTTGATTTTCTAAACAGTAGACTATGACATTTGGGTTCCTTACTGTTTTTGAGCAAAGGAGTTCATCGACCACCTCATTTCTGAGTCAAACTGTTTGAATGAAGGTGCATTGAAGTTAGATACTATAGATCTTCTGTTGTTGCTTAAACTTGACAGTCTTATTGAGCAGACAGTAAATTCGTTTGTATTCAAGGCATTGGTGTATTGCAACTATATCCCAGGTTTCAACGAACTCAGTATCAGTTCAAATGTATCAGCACTGTGGACCACTGTTTCAACAATCCGTATATTTAAAATAGCTTGAAGCGTAGAATAGCACCGCCGTCTTTACTGATTACCCTGGCAGTTTTATTCACCAGAAAGACTGTCCGAGTTAGGCTTTTTCCGCCTAGACTCTTTGTTCATTTCCATCAATTTAACAACAATTTAATACAGTAGGCAAGACTGAGATCAACGGAGATCCAGATCCCACAAACGCAAGTTATACAGGAGATTTCTATTATATGAGGTGGCAAATATCACCCGTCAAAGACGAACCCAATAGTGACTTGTGCAATTTATTTTCATTCATATTCTTCATTGTTGTAAGTACTGACTTCTCATAACGTATACATATATAAAAGTCAAGTAAGATACCTTACATGATAAGTAAATTCGGGAAAGTAATTCGTTTTGAAACGGACGTGTTTGATACATAATCTAGTCGTGTTCACAACGGTGTTTTAAAGAATAGAATAAAATATATCAGTTTATTAAGGGCAGGGCGCTATGTTTAAGAAGGTTGTTCTGGAGGGACGGTCTTCATCGTTTTAGTGATTTCGTGATATACTTAGACATTATGTGATGTAAAATAAATTGTTCGTAGAGCTTTCATTATTATAGTATAACATTTTGGAAAGTATAAAGTGTTAATAATTTTAGTACGTAAACAAGTTATTGCTCTTCGTGTTAGTATTTCAAACATTTTTCCATTCACTTGCTGAAGATCCTCATAGTCAATATTCAGGTTTATTCTTGTATGTTCAGTAAGGAGTGATTTCAATGTTCCGTAATTCAGATGATATACTTGTAGACTTCATACGCACTGAAGATCGAACTACTACTACTCTTAAGAAACTAATCATGAGATTCTTCAGGACGGCATTCAGACGAAGTTTAGAATTATTTGTATGTAGTCTACATCTATTCCCATGTGTCTCATTTAACAAAGTGGCTTTTGGATCTTTAGTTCGAAATGTATCGCTGCATTGCTTCGTTACAATCGTGGCACCATATTATACTCTCGTGACCCTAGATCTTAGTACGATTCGGTTTAGTAGGTAATAATTCATTTAGGGGTTTGCAATGCTGTTAATTTTTTAAAAGTGCGTAGTTAGTGTGTTTATGCCGTTGCTTTTTAGATTACAATAAAGTAACTTTATACGCTTTGGTACATAATTGCTATTTTGGTGGAGTTTTTTTCTCTGGGCTGGATTGACCAATCCATCCAGCTCAGAGAACAAAACTCCACCAAAATTATCCACCTGAGCTACAAATCTTCTCCACCATCTCATAATTGCTATTTGTTCTCTAATTGTTAGAGTTACTACCGACTAAGTTTTTTGGAGACAGTTCTTATCTCAGTAAACTTGGTCTACCACTGAAGTCCAGACAATTAACTCTGTTACAATATCACGTAATATTGTATTTTCTTTCTCACCCACTGTGACATTTCCTATCCCCCTCGTCTTTCCACTCACAAACGTGAAACAGTTGATAGCAGTAATTTAAATTGTCTCGTAAGATAACAGGCACATTTTCTGTTGTTTATCACTGTCAACGCTAGCTTATATAACTTTTATCCAGTGAAGAATGATCCGTTTTATTGAGCGGTTCAGACGTAAAAAATGCCAGGCAAATGAATAACATCAAATAAACAAAAATCACCTCAAAATCGTTTAACTCTATTAATTAGTGTTTTTTATCCTCATTTCATCGAGAAGAGTTCTTGTTTTGAGTCTAGGCTGTGGCTATTCAAATGGACTAGCGTTAGTTACTCATTGTATTACTCAGTTTGTTCGGCTGAGCCCTATATGTCTAGACTGGTACTGGACTCCTGAAGTGGAAACGGCTAAGAGGAATTCAGAACAACAACTTGAGCATCCTTAAATCTCCCACCTAACTAATCATACTCTTCATCCTAGGTTTTCAACATAACTTTAAGATACGATTTTCGTGTCTCAATAGGCATAAAATTCTGTATATGCATATAGGGTGACTTGCTTGACATGCACGGATAGTGAGTTTAGCAAATAATAGGGGAATAAATAAAACCATGTGTTTTCTATCAGTAGTGCCCGATTTTGACAAAACAGTTGAGAAAGTTTAGCCCATCTTATGTCTCACATTAATTAGTAAGGACACAGGAGACGTGTCTTATTTGGCTTTAAAGTTTTTGTTTACATGGGATTAAGTATGAGTCGTAAACAGTAGATAGATTGCCAATAATGAAATTTTTACACTAGAATCTGATTTAATGCAGTAAAATTCACTACACATAAATCCGGTGTTCATCTTGTTGTGCTGATGCGGTATGGCAACCTGGACCGATGCACATATGTGCCTGGTCCTACGTTGTAGCTGACTGACTGACACATGAGTGTACATAAGCTATATTTTTAAATGCCTCATCATGTATTAATTCACATATATTTTGTTCTGTTCACTTTCGTTGTAAAAACAAATCGCTGTTGTTTTGTATTCTCTTTTACACAGATCCCATTCATAATTTAAATGAAATGTTCCGCAAAAGCTTTCTTGCTTGGCATTTTAGTTTAATTCTGTTAATTGATAATTCAAATGGTTCAGATGTGAATTCGAATTTCCCCCCAGTCCTTACTCATCAGACTTCAAGAAATGTGGACTCGACAAAAAGGGATACGTTTGTGATCCTGATAAAATTCTTGACTATTCTGCTAGTGAGTTACCCCAGTTTAGTTGTCTTTTTTAACATTAAAAGCTAGTGTTCATCGTGTTTAGACGTTAAACGTCAATAGTGACTTTGTTTATAGAATAACTTCCCCCATTTTTCTCTCTTTTAATTTCCTGATATTGAGTTACAACATTTCAGGAACATACCTGTCAAGTATGTTCTAACCTGATAAAATGATTTTTTAAAAAGTCGTCACATGTCAAGAACATAGCCAGAAGATGGTAAATCAGACGATGAGGTTGTAAATCTTCATCAATTGAAATGTTTGAGCCACGTGTTACGTATTCCTGAACACCGATTATCACGACACTCAATGCTGACTAGTGTTGGGGATGGTTGGAAGAAAGTTAGGGGTGGCCAAACCAAAACGTGGTACCGGTTCACAAAGTCACTAACTTCTGGTCTCTGTCATGTTGGTAGATGCAGACTACTTGGTTGGGATCCAGGTGACTATCGTACCAATGGTTGGAGACTCTGGGTGACATGGCTCAGATTCGGTCACAACAGCGTCGTGTATACACTCTTTGTCTTCCCTTAAGTCGTGAGATTAAAATTACTTTATACCTTTCTAATTCTTTCTCCCTATACTATATCCTTATACACAATCTTTCTCTTATATATTACTACCATTAAAGTAACTACTTTATGAATTTGGTGTTCATTTTGTTGTGCTTATGAGGTATGGTAACTTGGATCGATGCATATATGTGCCTGGTCCTACATTGTAGCTGACTGACTGACATAGCCATATCTCTCGATTCTCTTTAAAAGTATTCTTCAACTTTCGGACACTTTCAGTGTGTACATACGGATTTAAAACAAGATGTCCATATAAAACATACCAAGCTTGTGGTACCTCTTTACTTTCATTACACTGATTCTTTGAAAATAAGCTAGTCGGTATGTTTGCACTTTTCTCTCACTCGAAATGTGAACCAAGTCGTTAGAAATCTATAATAACGACAATAATATTAAGAGCGTTCTTGCAGGGGTACGAATATAATTTTAATCTAGCCACTTCATTTTCTTCTAATCATTATGTCTCTGGTTGAGTAGTTTTTTCTAGTTTCTCTGAATCAGTTCTTAGAACTTTAGGTTAGTGAAAATATCCTTGATAAATTTCGTTGTTTTAGTTTCCTCTTGTTATAAAAGACTCATAGTCTACTCTTTGTTAATCTATTCGAAAATATTAACGCAACCAGTTAGTACGTCTTAGTTCAACTAAGTGAACGCACACAATTACTCTTTAAACATATTCCCCTAATACTCTTTACCTAATCCTCAAACTAAACAGACAACATGGAGACAAAGCCTGGACTACGACTTCGACGGATACATTTTATGAGGAAATGTCATTTTTTATGTAGGAATTTTTTCAGTAAATATTGAGTAGGTGACGACTACCTGGCTGTGGTCTGCGTGATTACTATAGACGATGGTTGTACACTGAGTAACATGAATCAAAACCGCTCACAATGTCACAGGTGCATCCACTTTTTATCTCCCCTTAAATCCCAAGCTTTTTTAATTCCCGTATAAAATGTTTGTACCATTAATCCGTATTATCTTATCGAATCGTAAATTTCGATGCCTAGTCTTTTCTGATATCACTATTAATGTTACTATCTATATCACTAGGATTTGCCCTAACAATTCCATCTCACTTTGTTAATGAGTTGTGACAACATAAGTCTGTGTAAATATGTTCCAGGTTCTACGTCGCGTATGACTCTGAAACGCAGTTGAATATTTGTAATTTAAAAACAAACTTCACAGTGAACAAATGTCACAAACTGAGTGAATACAATAGAAATTATCAGGTTGCAAGAGGATAACATACTGAACTAATTAATGACTGAACTTTTCAAAGTATAATCGAACGTTAAATTAAATGATTATCATATTAAACTAACCAATAATCTTACTCTTGATGTCGGGATCATGTCAACATGTCCATTTATGTAAATTGGCAAGTGAACCAGTTTCAGGCCAAACAAAGAGCAAAGAATTTTGCTAATCTAATTTAAAATTATTTAGGAGTTATATATGAATTTCATTGATATATTATATTTTTGTATTCAATGTGTTAATTGTTCTGAAATACTGGAAAAAAGTAAGAATGTTTGATATGCGTTTAACAACTGCTAAATGTAGAATGATAATTGATATGCATAAATATATAGTTGAAAAATACTTATGTGAAGTCGCTGAATTTGTTAACTGTTTCATTTACTTGTAGAGTTACACCAATCTAGGTATCCTATTCTTTAACAAATATCTATGTGGCACAACCTACATCTTATTTGAGTTAGGACATATTTATTTTTGGGCGGTAAGCTACATTGATACATCTGCTTACTTATAAGTCCTTGTTAAAATTTCTAATGTTCTTATACCGACGTTTAAGATTGTTTTCAGCTTTATAATGTATATTTTAGATGAGATACATAAACGTGTTTATTTCTCATAATAAATTTATTGGTGTAACACATAAAGGACAGTGTATTGTCATCAAGTTTTATACATTATGTACGTACTTACTCGTAGTTAACATACAAATTATATTAGGTTAAAAGAAAACGCCTCATTTTATCTAGATTTCAGGGGTGCCAACATTATATCATCATAAATAAGGAGGCTACTCAATAAATGTGAACTCATTTCTTTTCACACCATGAATAGTAATTGATTGATAAGTTCACAACTGGAAATTTTCATGATTTAAAACGTCCTGTATGAATTTACATAGTTTTCATAAATTTTATTTGAAGAAAATTATTATTGGATAAATATATGTAATCTTAAGTTATGTATGACATGCAAAAGTAGTGCCGATAAACTGACAGACAACCAAATTAGTAGTAATCTATCATATATAACAACTAGTATTCAATCGGATTGATACAAATCATTGCCTAGTTATAAGTTTGTACACTGGATGTTTAGCCACACTTATTGTTTTAAGGCCAGGTATTATTACATAACAGTTCGAATTGATGTAATGTTTGAATTTATTAAATGAATAATGTCAAGATTGTCCCACTACAACTTTAGAGTAGTCAAAAATATACAGAAATTGATGGTATATATTTAGGGACTATCGGCAAAAGATCATGGTTTTAGATTTCATATATTCTAAGCGAAAGTTTCTAAGACTAATCAACATTTTCAGTAATATGAGTTTACTTCAGATTGTTATATCCGGACGGCAATAAATGAATGGTAACGATTAGGAATTACTTATGGACTAATATTATACGAATATTCCTATTTTATGGCCATTAAGTGACTGTATTATATGGATATTCATATTTCTTTCATTATAAGCTTTTATTTGACCTATTCGTTACTGTATATGACTTACTATTCTTGAGATATTCCAAATTTACTAGTAACAGTTTCTCACAGTCACAGTCACTTTTGGCTAGATCTTTTACAAATGTTATTTTCTACTTTATGGTGTGTGGTGGTCTGATTTGTTTGTATATAAACCCAGTGTGTTTGAAATATATGATTCGTATAGGGGCGGTTGATATTGGCGTTCTGGACTTAACAGGCATGGTTAGGCGGAAAAACGACCAATCGGAACTTTAGGCTGCCCATATTGGTGTATACGTCATTAGTTTGTTCATATAAGTCAGGGTATCTAAATTGGCAATCGTATGTCTTCACTATATTCGTATAAGCTAAGGACATAACACAAATGTTACCCCTTCATTAAAGCATCAAAAGATAAAATGTTTGAAAGTTCTAATTATTGAATAAACATTATTTTTTTTCGCTCTACATTTAAAGAAAGCAATGTAATTTCTGCTTTGAGTTTACAGCTAGAATTTTAATTTTCAAATTACACCATGTAGTAATTTATTTTTGATCCGATTAAACTTAAACCAACAAATCATTCCGTTAACCTTAGACTCAACAAATTAATCTCCTAATCACTATATCAAAGCAGTAGCAATAATAATAATGATAATGCCAATATCAATAGTGTTGTTTAGTACTTGTGCTCCATGTTCTTCTTCTTCTCCTCTTACTCATATTTTAAACTTGTTACAAATGATAATTCATAACCTATTCTCTAAGTTAAAATTAATAAAAAGCTATGGCATAATCCTTGTTTTATATTTTTAAGGAATTCATTAGTTAGTATGTAATAGGTTTTCATCTTATCCTCATGTGTTAATCATCACATGATTAAGTCATCTGTTAGATGGTAGTGGCATTTATTATACGTATATATGTATATGCAAAATATTTACATAAACAAAATTAAAGACAACGCAACATTTTTCTTTGAAGGACATCATTGATTATAATTCATTCTTGTAGAGTATTCCATATTATTGGCAAGTAATGTTAATTAAATACCGATATCCAATCTATTATTATTATTATTATTATTATTATTATTATTATTATTATTATTATTATTATTATTATCAACACTACCACTACCACTACTATTAAAATTTCGTAAAAAATGTGTGCAAGTGTTTGGTTCTAATTTGGGAAGGAAATTCATTGAATGATATGGGGATACAGACTAATAAATAATCATTATGTAATTTTTGTTATATTCTATTTAGATTATTTTTCTATTCGTCCATTGTGTTAATAAGTGATAATGACGTGTAACTTTATAACTGTACATAAATATGTGTATCTGGCTTAAAGTCATAGTTGTTCATGTATATGTTAAGGGTTAAGTTACTACCTTATTATTGCAACTGAAAACGGTTGATGTCATGAATGGATCGATTTTAGACCACTACTGAAAACCTGGAAGCACTAGACAGCCGTTTCGTCCTAGTATCATGTGCTCACTAGTGACTAGCTGCAAGATAGATTTTCTGGAGTTCTAGCGAGAAGCCATGACCAGTGGAATTCAACCGTGTCTGTTGTGGGGCAGTTACTCACTGAAAACAGTGGTAGATGGTCGCACAGTATCGTGGATTGGTTGAAGTTAGACATTGACACCGTTGGATGCCTGCTCAGTGGTCTAGAGTCTAAGCGTTTGAGTGAGAGACTAAAGGTCTTGGTTTTGACTCTCGATTGCGAGATCGTGGATGTACACTGCTGATGAGTTCTATACTAGGACGAAACAACCGCCTAGTGCTTTCAGGTTTACAATGGTGGTCTTACATTGATTGATTCATGATATTAATCAAAACTCAACAATCTCCACAACCCTATACTGATGATGAAAAAAAAAGATGTTTGTCGTAGACCTACAACCCTACTGTTAGATATTGAGTACTTCTACCTGTCCTTTACAATGTTTTAAAATCATTTAAAATCAAAGGTGACAAGTTGAATTTTAATCACTGTTCAAATGACATAGACGTGTTCTAATACTTTAAAGTTATTTGAATATTAGCATAGTTAACCCAGTAGATTATAGATAAAGTCATTCTGCTTAATTTACATTTCAAGCTCCATAAAATCTCAATGATTGCAAACTTATACACAGGTCTAAGCATTGCTTATTTTCGTAACTAAAAACTAGAATAAAAAAAATCGTTAAGATTTTCTCAGGTCATTTCGATTTTCTTCTTTTTCATGCTATACTTCACTTTAAACACTTGAAATTACCATTTATAAGTACTGAACTCATCTACTCTAATGCTTGGATTCACTAGTTTAAACTGTCATATATATATATATATATATATATATATATATATATATATATATATATATATATATATATCACTAATTGCCCTCACTAAAGTAATGTAGTTAGAAACCAACACTGTAGAACCTGAGATAGATGTACGTCGATTTAACTAACCATAAGTTATTAACATTTCAAGATTCCCCCCTTATTGTAATGATTTAATAGTTAGAGCTTTTAATTTCCAACTACTAGGGATTACAGATCTAAACCCCCTCTTTTTTTCTTAATTTTATTTTAACATTGGGTTGAAATCGCTAGCGCTTATACTAAAAATATATTATTCTTTTAAACTAAACATATTTTAGTTATATGCTTATTTGTTTCCTATCTATTCATTTTTGTTTTTATGAATTTCTTCTTGAGTATTACGGTTTACTTAAGAGGCTTTTTAGTTCCATTTTGTAGTGTTACAACTATGTGTGATTAATATGATTAAATGTTAAACTCAACTATTGTCATTTGCTCCTACTATTTGCAAACCAAATAGCCATGAAGTGGTTCGGTATATTGCTACGTGTTTAGTGTACATTCCGAATAATCGTATCTCAGTATTTTCAGATATTTCAGCATCAAATCGTTGAACCAAATTTAATTTAAATAAAATATTTTTCTAGGACAATCAATAAATGAATTGTTATTACATTATCCTCGAGAAACTCCATGTTTATGTCGTCATCCGTGTTTTAGAAATGAAGTTAATCAAAACGCTAGACTTGTTGTAACAGCCCTAGTTTCGAAACCATTTTCAAAGTAAGTTGCTTAGTATTTTTGATGTGGTGAATATGTATTTTTCTCTTTATGTTTCGTAAATCTTTCTTTTTTACACACTTTCTGGTTTGCCGTTGCAGTTATCGGTGCAGCAGTAATGTCATCATATTCCTCCTATCCTTGTTTGGACATTTCCAGCCATCTTTCTGCATGATACGATTCTGAAAATCAAATAAGATTAACTCCATTAATAATTTATTTTTATTTTCTTTGGTTTTCGTGATTTTAAGGATTCATGTCGTGGGTTGATGGTTAAAGTAATTGGATTTAGAGTGGTAGGCCTAATGTCCGAATCCCACTCTATCCGATAACATCACTAGCCTTCATATCATAAAAGTTTGGTCTTAAGCTGAACAGATAAGTCTGTACTTCATCAATAAGTTTTGTATAGAACTTCAAAGTTCTTTGTTTATTCCGCCAGCAAATACGTATTACAAGGTGATGTTAACTAATCAATCACATTTTAACTTTTTAAATGTTTTTAATAATTAGCATTTAATCATGTTAGGTATGGCGATACGTCTTTCTTGTTGTTAATAGATTCAACCTGGTCAATATTATCACTATTTTGAATAAACAGTGGTAATTAAAACTGAACGACACATCGTCATACAATTTTCCTCATTCTTTATATAGAAATGTGAGCGTAGGTGAAACAACTCTCTAGTATTCACTAGTTTTACTCTAACCAGTACTAATCAGAGAGGAGGAGCATCTTTGAAGTAAGTAAATGTCTACTCAATACAACCGGATAAGTTGTTTGATGGAATCTAATCAGCACTTAGGGCTAGACAAACTTATTGGTCACTATTCGGTAGTCAATCAAGTTTAATTATCTCGGTCCTATAGGATCTCAGTTGCAGCCGAAATAGCTCAATGGCAGCGTCTCAGTTTTTGGAACTGGGTGATATGAGTTTTAAAATCACACAGACTTCATGAGTTCTCTCAAGATAACAGAAAAACCTTGCTGATGAATGTCAACTAACACGAGACTTAGGTCCGACGCTTTTTGGATAGCTACCTAATATCTTAAAATCGTTCACTCAATACTGAGTCACCTATACTAATGGACCCACTGTAACTTGGCCGATAGGATTCGGTCAGTATTAGAGGGCTGGACATATGTAGCATTGGTCTCTACTCAGTAATTAATCAGTTGTACCATGACTAAATGATACTCTCGTGCTGTGATTATTGCTTAATTTCAAGATGGATCTACAGATGTCAGTCAGAATCTGTGATAATTAGATTGGGAATGAATATTCTAAGCCCTTCAAAATGCAACTCACCAACTGAATATAATTATCTTGTCATTCATAATGGTGTTAAGTTTTAATCCCATATGAAATCACAAATTCATTTCGTTAAAAAACCAAAACCTGGGACAAAACACTTAATTCTTGATTTTCATTGATTGTTTAATTGTTGTTGGTTTTAAGGAAAAAATCGGACGAGACTATAATTTATGGGTGAACAAATCAGATTTAAGATAACAGATCTTGAATTTGGGCACGAAATTCCTTCACTCATTTGGCTAAATGCCATTTATTTTGGCATTATAGCTGATGTAAGTTCATGATGAAAACACTAAATCTAGTTCGTAAGCCTGAGGTTCAACTGTAAATCGTAATCCTAATTCCTCACACTAATTCCTAACCCTAATAAAGTAGGTGGACATTCTAATATCATTTTAACGTTGCCCAAAGGTCGTCCATAAATTATAATCTCATCAAGAATTGTCTTCAAACTGAAAATACACTTAGCTTATGAAAAGTGTTCTTCAATTATTGAAACTTATCATTCCGCTTTTTTATTCTTGATCTTGAATTCATTTAAACTTGAATCGTTCTCATTGTTAAAGTAAAAATGCTTCAGTCGTACAATATGCAAACAATATTCGAAATAAATGGAAAATTGGAGCATGCAATGGTAATGATGTTTTAATTTTAATCACAGAAAAAGCTGTAAGTTGATTATTATTATTATTATTATTATTATCATTGTTATTATTATTATTATTATTATTATTATTATTATTATTATTATTATTATTATCAGTATGGGGTCGTAAAGATTGCTAAGTTTTTTGATTAAGATCATGCATCGATCAATGTTAGACCTCCATTAAAGACCTGGAAGCACTAGATGGACTTTTCGTCGCAGTATGGGACTCCTCAGCAGTGCGCATCCACCATCCTGCACCAACGGGACTCGAACCCAGGACATTCGGTCGCGCGCGCGAACACTTCATTTCTAATCCACTGAGCTGGCATCCAATAGTGTTAATGTCTAACTTCAACCAATACACGAAAATGCGTGATCATCTTCCATTGTCTGAGGTAGATACCTGTCTTTACCTGACGAGGATCGTGGAAGTGCACTGCTGAGGAGTCCCATATTAAAATGGAACAGCTGTCCAGTGCCTTCAGGTTTTCAATGGTGGTCTAACATCGATCGATTCATGATCTCAATTATTACTATGATCATCATTTAATTAAATTTCATTTTGTTTATCATTCATTATTTGTGAATATAAATTTCTATGATTTAAATTTTAGTCACCATATATGGTAAAATAAACTCACTGACCATATTCAAACACACGTATACTTGACGTTGTGATAGGTATTTTTTATTTGTGATAATGACTAGTAGTGATGTAGTGTTTAATCCTATGTCAAGTTCACATCGATTGTTTTAGCTTCCGAACAAACTGACTTATTTATTCATGTTAAATCACATTTTGACTTTGTTAATTATTCACTTATTAACCTTGAATGTTTTTATATGAGCGTATGTGTGTTAATTACTCACATCCTATTCATTTCGTGTCTGTAACTTATTTTTATCTGATCATAAATGTGGAGTCTCGCTTTATCAAAACGAGTTGGTTCACTTGCCTTCTCCACTTCAGTCTCCCGCTTTTTATTCTGAATATCTGTTTGGATAAACAGATCCTTGAAATAAATTCCTCTAACTCAATCCGTATTTGGCTTCTTATTACCGCTGTTACACAAACGGGGTTAGCCTAGGTTAATATACGGAGTTAAATGGAAGATTTATGTTCATAACTTACTAATACATCGATCCAAGTCGGAGTCAGATCAGCTGGCCACAAATGTGGTGATTGTGTTCATCCGATACAGTTGAATTCAGATACCGGGTATCAAAGTGATACTATTCTATCTGTCAAAACTGTTCAATAATTGATGGAATAGATGTAATTTGAATTTACGAATTTAACAGTTAAAAATTAAGGGCTTCAATTTTTAAACCAGTTATTCTTTTCGTAAATATCAATACTAAGGTTAAACTTGATATCTTCAAATAAATTGATCACTGGGTAGAAAGTTAATAATAAATGTTTATTTTCCTTTTTTTTGTTATATCCCAATGACTAGAAAAATTGTATTTCTGACGTTTCTTGACTTAATGTAAACCACCTCTTCAGAATAAATCAATAACCAAAATAAAATTAACACAAATTTAAATAGTACAAAGAAAACAATGTAGAATATTTCTCGTACAATCGAAATCACAGTACGCTTGAGTATGTAAATATCACAAGTATGGTTACCATAATCAGTCATTGGTTTACTCTCAAGAAATGGCTTACAATTAAGTAGTCACAAAAATGTCAGATACAATATAATCTTTTTACTTATTGAGATATAACAAACAAAAAAGAAGAAAATTAACATTTATTCACTTACATTTACTTACTTAATTTATAACAATACCAAGTGAATTCAAATTCACCCCGTTGCACAAGCAAGTGGCTATCAGGACTCAGTAGCTGAGTGGATAACGCAATGGCGTTTGAATCGAATGGTACTGGGTTCGAGTCCCAGAGTGAATATCAACTCTGAGATGCAGGTACATCCAGCTGACGAGTGCCACGTAGGACGAAACGCGCGTCCTGGATTCCACTGCTATCCACTATCCATCGTTGCTTAGAAATATCCTCTAGTTGAAAATCTTTGAATTCGTTACTAAATTATTTTTCGGTATTTCACATTTTAAAAAAATACATCGTGCAACTTTATTTGTTTTTGTGTTTGTTTGTTTTTCACATTTTTCTTTTGTTAACATGTAAGTTTTTTCTGATTAACAATCCATTTTATTTTCATGTCATTATTTTAAGACAATCTAGACATTTCAATTCTCTTATTCTATTCTATAGTCTATTCTAGTTGATGTATTGTTGTTTTTTGTTTTCATTGATTCCTGTGTTTATAACAAACCATTTAGTTTGTTTAAGAGTGATTTTATAATACTGTTTACTAAATTATATTGAAATAGTAGTATTTTCTGCTACATGACGGAGCTTTTGACTGACTTCTGTAATCCTTTGGAAAACCAAGGTGAATAGTGTTTCAGAGAAGTGTTTCAAACGAGCTTGTATCTCCAATTATTTTAACAATTTTCCATCAACTATTATTACAATTTTTACAGTAAAGCTTTTACTTGCAATTCTTGCCTTCTCTTTAGTGTTCTAGTTGACATGTTGAGGTAGTAAAGGATATCGGAACCAACTGAGAAGACGGTTTAAGCGTGTCGGCAGCAAGATTTATGAATTTCACTTTTCTTATTCATATTTTGCGGATCTGTTCATTTCGTTCCAAACTACCGTTGATATTTCTTTTTAGACTTTTCAGTTCGCTATTTTCCTTTTATCAGAGTGGGGTTTTGTGGATATTATAGTGATTTTTGAGTAGTTGAATTCATGAGTCGATTAAAGTTAGATAGTCATAGAAAACCTGGAAGCACTGGATGGCCCTTTAAACGTTCGCCCGAGAGACCGAAGATCCTGGGCTTGAGTCCCGCGTGCGAGATCGTCGATGTGCATTGCTGAGGAGTCCCGTACTACGACGAAACGGCCGTCCAGTGCATCCAGGTTTTCATTGGTGGTCTAGACTATATAGACTCGTGAATTTAACAGTTAAATATCTAAACAATTCTATAAGTGCTCAATATCATACAATTTTTATGTTTCAGTGATGAGATTTCCACGTTGGTCATCCGGTTTAAGTTGATAGAATTTATTAAATTTAATGGAATAGTTAACGTATTCAATGATTTCACACTATGACTGTCTATTTTCAACTATCTTTTTTTAAATTGATTTTTTATTAGTTATTTGAATGTTCCCATAAATATTCAGGACTAAAATTGATCAGTCTATTATTGGCATATGTGCTATCCTATGATGTAGTGTCTATATGGACTCAGTAGCTAAATGGATGATGCGATGTCACTTGAAACTAACGGTTCTGGGTTCGATTCCCGGAGTGAACATCAATTCTTGGATACAGGTACATCCAGCTGACGAGTCCTGAACGGGACGAAACACTGCAAGCCACCATCCATCTCTGCCTATCGCATTTTTTTGTTAATATTAATGTAACTATAAATTTGTTTTATTTTTTTCCGAGAACAGCTTAACCTTAAAAGTTATTATTATTTCGTACTGTACGAATTTTTATCACATATAAACTCTATTTATTCGTTGTCATTAGTGAAATATGCCGATCAGAATATGCATGATCTATCATGACTGATCAATATTTATAATAGAATCAAATGATTAAATTATCTATTTTGGTTGGCGATGTAATTCGATACATGTGATAGATCTAACTATTTTCTTATTGTTGATTCATCATGATGGATTTATTTATATCGGGGTTATATCATTATAATTGTTTCTTTTTGTGTAGAAATTGTGTTACATTTTTGGGAGTGATATACTATTTAATAGATTATGTGAATTTGAAACTTCTAGACGTTAGTAGTGTAATGCTTGAGAACTCAAGTGGGGTGAACCATTTTGTTTTTTCTTGCAAAATTATACTGTGCTTTGGTGAAATATGAAAATGATACATTAAAAATATCATGTTCACATCTTCTTTGTGTTGTCTTCTCACATACTCCATTATTTCTCTAATTCTGTTGCTGTTTTGATTCCTCTCCGATATCTTTTCTGTTCTATTCAATTCAGTCTTCTGCTGCCAGTCATTCCACTTCCTACTGGTGCTACATACTACATATATCTGTGAGCACAAGTAGTGTACACCACAGCAGTAGTAAAATCTTTTTTTCTTTCTCTTTTGTTATGCTTATGTGAAGTATGGCAATCGATATGATAAACATTAGCGCCATGTGGTTGATTGTTTTGACCATCTAAGTAACTGGTAATCTATTATTAGCTATAGGCTTCATTCTGTTGTGATCTAATTAATTAAAATACCAACCATTTTAGCTGTCATGTACATTACGCCAACCAAATGACAAATTTTCAGCGTAAAACGTTCTATACGGATAACTTCTATATACTGTGGTACCTCTGTGGAGTTGACATGATTTCCATCTTCATGACTATTTGTTCTGTGAAACATAAGCCATGAAAGTACCAAATGTATTTAGATTGTTATCATTTTGATCACACTTGTCCTCGAAACATGTTGTACATAAAACGGACCCATCAAATGTGCAATGGCGAATATGAGTGTAAGATTTCATTTATAACTAATAATTCAGTTGATGTTAATTGTTACACATCCTTAGCCACCACTGTCTTAAAGGCACAATGCTGGTTTGCACAAAACTAGACTTCAAAATTGTTAGAACTGATCAAACTGCAACATGGTGTTATTCAATACAGTGACTCGGAAACTCAATTGACTCATGTTGATAAGTCTTGGTTGTAAACCACAAAATAATTGCATTTTATAGTTAGAGATGTAAATTGAAGTCATTTAAATTCCTACTAGTTAATTGAATCTTTTCATGTGTTATGCAAATGATTACTAAATATATTCGAACTTACTTAGTTAGGGGTTAAAATAACAGTTGTTCCGATGTAATCTTTCTTATCCTACAAATTATCTGTCTAATTTTTCCTTCAAATGTTCACCTTTGACCTAACCACTGCTATGAATCCGGTGTTCATCTTGTTGTGCTG